ATACAGGTAGCGAGGCCGCCGCGGGGAGGGGTGCCCCGAACACGGGGGGGTTCGGGGAAACGGGCTCATTCCCTCCGGGGGAAGTGTCCGGCCCCGGGGCGGGCGGTGAGGTGCGATGCGGTGACTCCCCGCAGGTGACGGTGCGGGACGCGCTAAACCAGGCGCTGGATGAGGAGCTGGAGCGGGACGAGCGCGTCTTCCTGCTGGGCGAGGAGGTGGCCCAGTACGATGGCGCCTACAAGGTGGGTGGCTGCCGTTACCGGTCCGGGAAAGGGCCTCAGGCGGGCCCTGACTCCTCTCTCCTGCCCTGCAGATCTCCAGGGGCCTCTGGAAGAAGTACGGGGACAAGAGGGTGATCGACACCCCGATAGTATGACTCCCCCTGTCTCCTACCCTGGCGATCCCATCACCAGCCGCTCCCCGGTGCTTACCCCTGGTTTCCTTCTCTTCCAGATGGGCTTCACGGGAATCGCTGTCGGTGCTGCTATGGTTTGTGCATTTGCATTCCTTCCAAATCAAACATTTAAAGTACTTTTGTGTAAAAACATACCAAGATATATTTTAATATATTCAATAGGCGGGGTTGAGACCAGTGTGTGAATTCATGACGTTCAACTTCTCCATGCAAGCCATTGATCAGGTTATAAACTCCGCTGCCAAGACCTGTTACATGTCTGCCGGAGCAATCGCTGTTCCCATTGTGTTCCGGGGCCCCAACGGGGCATCGGCTGGAGTCGCGGCTCAGCACTCGCAGTGCTTCGCAGCTTGGTACGGGCACTGCCCCGGACTGAAAGTTGTTAGTCCTTGGAGCTCGGAAGATGCCAAAGGTCTGCTGAAAGCGTCAATCCGGGATGATAATCCAGGTGAACACAAGCAGATCATGGCAATACCTAGCACTCCATCCTGAAAGGAATGTCTGTTTTCTCCTCCTGCCCCATTTAAAACAAACAAAAAAAGATTGATAAACCCTAAAACACTTAAGGTTGCTTTACTGCAGCTTTAGGGTATTTACAAAGGCACAGAAGTATTTATTCTTTCCTCAACAGTCACTTGCCTCGCTAGCAGTAGACTAATTTTGTGCTGTTGGCAGCAATCAGGAAACTTAGAAGCATTTATCAATCTATTGTAAAGGGGTTAAAAACAATGAAGATGGGTCAGGAGGAGTTCTGTATGTGCAGCGTCTATGTAACTCATTGTTACAGATCACAAAATTCACATGGTATATTCAGAGTGTCGCTAATTAAAAGCAGGGCAACCTTTGTCTTTATTTCTCACAAACATGCATGCAAAATCTAAGACCCTTCTAAAACTAAACATCATGTGCTGAAAGTTAAATATCTGATCTCATTTAAGCCTAATTGTAGACAATTTTAAAAATAATTCAGCATTGCAACAAAGACACTGATTTTTATTTAATTGTTTCTGCAAACATACTCAAGTCCTTGTTGCCTGGAGGGGCTCAGTATCCTGAGCTAGTCTGCTGCAGTACCGTTAATCATCAGTACAGTCCTCTGCCTGCAGACATACACAGTAATCCAAGTGTGTTTTCTTTTAGTTGTGATGCTGGAAAATGAATTACTCTATGGTGTGCCCTTTGAGATGTCTGAACAGGCACAGTCAAAGGATTTCATTGTTCCAATTGGAAAAGCTAAAATAGAAAGGCAAGGTAAGCTGAGAATAGAGTTTGTTTCCTTATTAACTGAACTGCTTGGGGACTTTTTTTTAGTCTTTTTTGCCATTCAGAATACTGCTGGCTTGGGGCACAAAAAGTATTTCAAGTCTTAAGTGTTCCAATGTTATTTTAACCTGTAGTATACTTAATTGTTCTGTTGCCCATATAAAGAAAAATCATTCGATTCTCTGTATCTCATCTAAAACTGCGCCTTTCTAAAAGATTTGTTCCGTAGTATAGAGATGGAATATATGATGTCTGAAAAACTTTTTTCCTCACCTTAGTATGTAATTTTTGTCAAAAATGCAAGAGATCACTGTAGTATTTCAGCCCATTTGTTCATAATTTACCACTGAATTATATGAATGTTTGAAAAGGATAATCTGAAAACTATATTATCTTATCTCTTCAGTTCCCTGAATTAAAGGGTAAAGTTTGTATCTTAGCATAGTCCTTCCACTACCATGCTATGGTTGGGCATAGAATACTTAGCATTTCAAATTAACATAAGGAACTTAGATTTTAGAAGAGAACCCTTGAAGGAGCCTGAGGTCTAGAGAAAAGCTTTAAATTTTAAGTTGTTTTCTTCTTTTTGAACACTTGTTTCTGTTCTAGGAACTCATGTTACATTAGTTTCACACTCAAGACCCGTTGGACACTGTTTGGAAGCAGCTGCTGTACTTGCCAAAGAAGGTGTAGAGTGTGAGGTGCGTGGGGTTTCTGTTGGCTTTTTTTCCTGGAGCGGGGAAAAAAAAGCAGAGCGTCTTCTCATTCAGGCTCTGCAAAACTTCAGTGTAATAACTACAGGCTTCTTTCCCTGGTAAATGCCTTAACAGTCAGCCAAGCACATTCATTTCATGTTCCTGCATCTGACCGTTCATCACAAAATTAAGGCAGAACCGCAAACGATTTTCAGATTGACCCAGCTGCATGGTAAGCAGAACGATGACAGTATGTATCAGTATCTCGATACAGCAAGAGTCAACTACCTGGGATTTTCCAGGAGCCACCAGAAACTGTTCCACACAGTCTCTGCCAGGATAAAATGTCAGAAATCTTATTAAGTCTTGTCTTGAAAGTCAGAGTAGATGAAAGTGCTGAAGGACAAAACTCACTTCTTGTCTTGAAAGTCAGAGTAGATGAAAGTGCTGAAGGACAAAACTCACTGAGTCTGGTTTTTGGGGTTTTTTTTTCAGGTTATAAATCTGCGTACCATTCGACCAATGGATATTGAAACAGTGGAAGCCAGTGTTGTAAAGACAAACCATCTTGTAACTGTAGAAGGAGGTTGGCCGCAATTTGGAGTAGGAGCTGAAATCTGTGCCAGGATCATGGAAGGTACCAAGTTTTGCAATGTGTTGATCTCATTCCCTAGTCTAAATCCTGACAACTTCTTGATAAAGCCAGATGAAGGCAAAGTTAGGGTTTGAGGAGCTTGATCCTAGCTGTCTCGCCCTAAAGATTTTCACAGGGTGGATCCAGCTCGTAATATGTTGTAATTCTTATCCCAGGAACTTGACTATGTGAGAAGCAGGATGGAAACTTTTTGTCTAAACCATAGTACATGAAGATAAAGGAGCAGGAACAGCTCTCTGGACTATTAGAGCTACAGGAACAAAATTGTTTAATAGATTAAGATTCAGAAATTGAATTGAGAGACAACAGTTGTGCATGGCAACCTGACAGCTGTCTTCTGTTTCAGGATCTGCCTTTAACTACTTGGATGCTCCAGCTGTACGTGTTACTGGTGCAGATGTTCCTATGCCTTATGCAAAAATTTTAGAAGATAACTGCATACCTCAAGTGAAGGATATAATATTCGCAGTGAAGAAAACTTTAAATATCTAAGTTGTAAATACATGTTTTATAGTTCTGCTTTAAATAGTTGTGTAGGGCAAGATGTATGCATAACTTTGTTGTATAACTACATGAACTTTTGTACAGTGGGGAAAGTATAGCAACCTCCCAGAATATTTATATGGGGTTACCCTGTAAGCCACACTTCGTATAAGCAGCAATGTGGTAATGCTTGTTTGTTCACAGTACAGGTGGGTTAGTGCTATTCTGTGTAGAGAAAGCTGATTCAAAATTCAGAGTGAGGAAAAAAAATCCTCCATTTGTGCTTGGCTTGTAGTTATCAGCCAAGCTGTGTTAAACTGGCTGTAGTGGTGGTGGAGTGAAGAACTGCAGTGAGCTGAAGTCCAGCCCTAGAATGCCGTATGGCTCTCTAGGAGCCCATGGTCACAAGGCTTATTAAAGGTGAATGATCAAATTCCAGGGAGTGAAGCCTCGCTTTTCAGTTCAAGTTAAGTGCAGCTATCTGCACAAAGCAGCTTTGGAAGCTTGCAGTATGGGCTAAGAGATGGCTAACATTCAGTTTGAAGAGCTCTCTGCTCAGGCAGGAAAGCTTCTGCACAAGAAGAATGAAGATCCTGATCCTCTTCAGGATGTGATGGGAAACATTACCTGATTTTTCTTCACTGGCTGCTACATACAGTGATAAAAAATACTTGCCCGGATGCTTTGCTTTATGTATTTTTTTAACTCATCACATGGGCTAACAACAGCATGCTCAAATTATAGTTCTTACAGTACAAAATAAGTTATTTTATTCAGACACACTGAATGTGCAGCGGCAGCACAGATTGTGTTTGAAGAGCTGATAAACAGTCGCCGCAGCCTTTAGGCGGATCAGTGTGCGTCAGGGTTTAGCTGAGGGGCTAGTCCCGACAGGCAGGGTTCAGCTTTGTCCAGCAGCCTCTGGTACGGTGTGAAAGCTGCCTGGAGCAGCCTTTGCAGCGTGGCTTGCTCAGTGCCCCACGCCAGGCTGCCTTTCCCTGAGCTGCTGGAGAGGAGATACCTACCACTGCAAGCGGACAGAGAGCTCGGGTCCTATTTCAGTTGAGAGCCAGGAATACCTTTCGGGGTATTTCCTTTTAGCAGGAGTGCTGTTATGTTCTTAGAAGTCTGGCTTGCAGGGGAAATCCTAGCTGAATATACCCACCACCACGCAGCTGAAGGAATTCCATTAACATTTTAATAAAAATGACTGAATATCACAGGTTACATGAAACTTTGTACAGACATTCTCTGCATAGTAACAAACACTGATGTACTTGAATTTAAAAAATGGATTATCTATAATCCTTTAAAGTGCAATTTGTTTAAGGTTTTAAATCAAAAATTATCTTTCAATAAAGTTTAAGCTGTAGAATTAACTTGAAGTAACTTTCATTTAACTAAATCAAGAATAATATCCCAGTGCCCTATTAACTCCCATTTCAACTGTTTCCTCATATGAAAACACTTTCCCTTAGAGTTACAGGTAGGATGTCCATTTAAACGAGTTTAATGAAACAGCACTTTTACTCCACCAGCAAATATGGTGGGAATAAGATTTAATTCTCCAGTTCCCTCACCTGTGCAGTATGCTTCAAGGGTTGGGGGGAGGGTGGCAGATTTTCTAAAGCAAAAC